CCTCAGAGAAAATGTGCGCTGTTCCCCTCAGATGCAATAGTGGAAAAATACAGGTGTGTGTTTGATGCTTTTTCTCCCCTTAGCAATACCATGTAGCTCTAAACAACCCCGGGTAAATAAATCATAAATCATACCCTAACTTGCCTCCGCCAGTAGAAAACGCTACTTTAATTTGTTTGCATTATATGTTCTTGAATGCTTTGTGTAATCGTTTTGGAGCTGGAACAGCCTTTAAAGATTGTCTTCATGACCAAAATAAAGACTTTCTTTTCTCCTCAAGGTAAATGTTTCTGTGTGTGTGGTTTTCTTCCTCTGTCACGGGAGATTAGTGTGGTCGGGGTTTTGCAGCTGAGTGCCTGAGAGGTCTCGTAAATCACTTTTCTGAGATTGCATTAGAGACTTTCCTACAGAGCTCTGGTTGGATGGAACATCACCTGAGGCAACGCAACATCTCCACCTCCAAACTGCACACAATATTCATCTACAGCAGCAACGTTATATAGGCCTATATATCAGCAGGATGTTCTGTACTTCAGGTTTGAGCAGTGCTTTCATACGTCTACCACTTATTCTATTATTTACTACAACTATTACTCTTCTGCAATTCCCTTCAGCTATAAATACCTGCTATTATCTTAAATGGTGTTCAGTTGGGAAGGCACAGACGTCTTTTGTTCTCTTGAGCAGGTCAGGTCAGGTGCACACCCTTTTTGACATTGCTTGTCTTTTTTAAATTAACAAACCCAGGTACGTTAACTTACTTTACTTTACTTACGTTAACTTTACTACAGCTTAAAATAAAAATACAGCAATACGCAGCACACAGGCTGCCTGGTTACGGCCCGTGTAGGCATGAAAAAAATCTTGAAGCTGGGCGTGTCTGAAGCTTGGCGATTTTTTGCGAACAACAACCAATCAAATGAATCTCCCGCCCCCGACATACAAAGCAATAGCAATGTTAAAACGAAGTAAACTGGATATAAACTCCCCAAACAGGTGAAAACCTACAAGTTTCACCCACTGTCTCTGCAACCTCCCTTCATGCCTGGTTCCTCTGGTTTGTATCCCGGTAAATAGTTCTGGTCGTAAAGAACCGGGTGATTTGCTACCGTAATTTCTCGTTTGGAATATGAGGAAATGAACTGCGGTCTGGCTCTCCCAGCTTGCACGCGGTTTGATTGGCTAGCGCTTGCACTGGCGGGATTTGCATAAACGGGATTTGATTGGCTCATGCCAGCTTCGCAAGCATCGGGAGCATCAAAAGTTGAACATTGCTCAACTTTTGATGCTCACGATGCTTGCAAAGCCATGCTCCGCTCCCCACAATGCAGTTCGGCGAAGATTAAAAATCTTCTACGTCACCCCATTCCAAGTGAATGGGCGAAGCTTTGAAAGATTTTTTCATGCCTGTGTGTGGACGGGCCGTTTAGGGTCAACCGAGGGCAACTGTCCCCCACTTTATACATTTTAAATGTTACATATAATAGTATATAGTAATCGTCATTAACATTATTAACATCTTTAGTTGTACCAATACACAGCTGTGGGCTATATATTGTAAAAATGCATCACATTTTTAATTAGAGCGCTTTTGCAGGTTCTCAAAGCGCTTTTCAATTACACATTACACATATTAGACATGTAAGAGTCATTACTGTGGACATTACCCACAGGAGCAAATTCGGGTGAAGTGTCTTGCCCAAGGACACAACGGCCTGACGCAGTGGCGGCCGAGGCGGGTTTCGAACTGGAGTTCACCAACGCCCCTTGATTTGATGATCAACGCTCTAAACTACAATGCGCACATTTGTACTTCTTATATTTGTATAAATATCTGTAATTTATTTTATATTTTTTTACATTTATTTTATGTATTTTTATATTTATTTTATATTATTATGCTTTTGTCCCATTACTTTAACCCATATTGCTGCTGCATACTTTTTATTCTACCCCCATTTCTTCCATAACAAATATATTTTGACCTAATAATGTTATTTTACTACTTTCATACAGTGTGTTTGCTAACACTACTATTAGCCTTATGATATAAAATGACTGTGTCTGCGTTTCCTGACGTTGCACCAGGCAGTACGGTGACATTGCACCGTGTCACCGTACTGCCTGGTGCTTTGATATCAATAACACAGACAGTCCCACTCTGATAAAGGGATTCCTGGCTAAACTTAGCATGTGTGATGGCGTTAGTAAATATGCATCTGGAGCAGCTGTTAACACGCCTTTCTGCTAACAGTTGGAATGGCTTGTCAATATTTAAAAATCCAACACATATTGTTCATTTTCTAGTCATTTTTAAATGTGTATTCAGGTTGTAAGTTCAAATTCACCGACATAAGCAAACATATAACAAGAAATATGACCTCTGCAGAGCCAAGTGTGTCTAATAAGCTCAGTCTGTGTTGATTTAGTCAGTGAACTACATTACTATGAAACTACATCTATACCTGTAGCCAGAGGTGGAGGTGGGAAATCAAGTACTGTACTTAAGTACAATTTTTAGATACTTGTACTTTACGTGAGTATTTCCATGTTGTGCTACTTTGTACTTCTACTTCTCTACAGTTCAGAGGTGACTGGTGTACTTTTACTCCACTACATGTATTTAATCCCTTTAGTTACTTTACAGATGTGGATGAATGATGTGAAATATAATCAAGTGTTAAATCAGACTTTAGTTCCACCTGGAGTAAATCCACAAGCTACCCTGCAGTATACAAAGTCATTCAAACTAGCTGCACCTTTACCAGCTTTGAGAACACTTTCATGATCAATCATTATAAAACATATCATATATATTATTCTGAAATGGACCAATCTGCACAATGACTACTTTTACTGTCGCTACTTTCACTATATTTTGATGAGAATACTTTTCTACTTTTACTTGAGGAACATTTTGAATGCAGGACTTTTACTGTAACAGAGAATTCCTGCACTTTGGTACTTCTACTTTTACTCAAGTACAAGATCTGAGTACTTCTACTTTTACTCAAGTACAAGATCTGAGTACTTCTACTTTACTCAAGTACAAGAGCTGAGTACTTCTACTTTTACTCAAGTACAAGATCTGAGTACTTCTACTTTTACTCAAGTACAAGATCTGAGTACTTCTACTTTACTCAAGTACAAGATCTGAGTACTTCTACTTTTACTCAAGTACAAGATCTGAGTACTTCTACTTTACTCAAGTACAAGATCTGAGTATACTCAAGTACAATATCTGAGTACTTCTACTTTTACTCAAGTACAAGATCTGAGTACTTCTACTTTTACTCAAGTACAAGATCTGAGTACTTCTACTTTTACTCAAGTACAAGATCTGAGTACTTCTATGTTTACTCAAGTACGAGATCTAAGTACTTCTCCCATCTCTGCCTGTCGTTACCCATCATCATAAGTCTGTGATAAATCAAGTCTATGTCTGCATTATGATATACAAACTTGTCGTTATCTTTGTGAGTTTATTCCACTCTTAAGCAACCAGTTTTTAGAGAGCGAGCATCACTTGGTCGATGTCAGAAAGGTCATTCTGACGTGAGAACGCCACATGTGCTGCAGCAGAATCAGCTGTTAAAAACCTCTTCTGTCAGTGCGCTGACACATTTGCAAGTTTTTGAGAGTCTAATAAACCTAAACTGCCTCAGAGTTTAGTTGAACGAGTTCCCACAGATCCTGTTCTGCTAGGGAACCAGGATTCACGTTCTTTATAAAGAGAAAGGGGTTGGATGCCTCAGAAGAAGTCACATGACATCACTTCCTGTCCAACACAGTCTCACGGCATTTCGTGTTATAGTCATGAAATTAATCTATTGATTCGTGTTCACCAACAACGATTTTAAAAGCAATGTAAAACAAATTTGAAGGAAAAAGAGATTTTAAAAAATGCAGATTTCAGTATTCTGAGGCTCTGAGCCCCATTTCTTTTCCTCGCGGACGGCAAAAAAACTCAGACATTATACGATTTAAAATAAAAGGGTTAGGCTTACGGTAAGATATTGAGTAAGAACATGTTTTTATGAACCACACAGCTTCCGGTCTTCCAAGACCCGACCGGACAAAAAGACGTGTTGTAGGCGTGAAACATACTACCAATAGAAATACATTGCTTTTAAAATCGTTCTGTGTGACACAAAAAAAATTGGGAAATCGTGTTGGTGAACACGAATCAATAGATTAAATTAATTTCGTGATTATAACACGAAATGCCGTGAGACGGGTTGTCCGGTCTCCTGTCGGTTGACTTTAATTCTGAATGCTAATCTTTAATTTTCCTCAATTTGAATTGTTCATTTAGTTCTAAAAAATGATCTCATATTCGAGTAGTGTTTACAGAAGATGCTAATATGTGTCCCTCAGGCCAGAAACTGTGGTGCAGCGTGCTGTGACTCCGCAGAAGTATTTATTTGAAACAGGTTTTCATTTGGTTATTATATCTGTGTTCAGTGCCACACCTGGGAAGTTAAAGAACAAGTTACTGAGTATATTTTCATACTGTGCATAGCAACACGCTAACTTCACAAAGTGCTTCATTTCAAAACATTTAAAAAATACTAAGATTTACTGCACTCTTTCTTACTAAGTTGTTGCATCAAACCCAGCAGAATGAGTGATATCAAATGTTTCTCCATGGCTTAGTTTAGGCTTGAGGAGGAGATTAAAAAGCTCCAATCTCTTGGCTTCTTCCTCAGTGTGAAAGTTTCAGTGATCATTAAAACTCAACCTCTTCCTTACAGGGTGGGTTCAAGAGGAGAATGCTGACAATCTCAAACAAAAGGTGTCATACCATTATGAAAGGTACAGCAGGTTTCCAAAGAAAAGGAGACGCAGTATAAAGTCTTAAGAGACTATCTAAAAAAAAATTAACCGCTGAGCATCCATCGAAATAAGCACCGTCCAAGTTGTTGAGTAATCCAGTTTATTGATTTACGATGAAAGATGGAATAAGGTGGTCCGTATTGTTACTGTTAGGATGAGTTGTTTACAGTAATGCCAGGATACTGTATGTGCTGTCAAGTGTGGTCGACAGAAATGTAAAGATACCCAAACTCACCCCCGTCTCAAACACAATTGCAAAAGAAAACATAGTATTTAAAAGTGTTACTGGAATCTTTAAACTCCCTAAGGACTCGAGACAAGACTTAACAAAACAACCTCTGAGCAAACGTGTCTTGCATGTGCATATTGATCTTGCATAAAGACGATTCAAACTAAATGAATTGACAAAACTCTCTGTAATTTCAGCGCAGGTCCCAACAGACACACACCAAAGAAATTTCTCCTCTCATATCCTCTGCTGAAAACAGCTGAGTGTGTGAGCAGCTGTGACTCCAAGGTGAGCTGATAGAAGAATGTAAACAAACCAGAGTGACCAGCATGGCTTCCAAACAGTGAGGCTGGGAATAACAGGTGGCAATTCACTAAGTTATGGTTCAATAAACTTGTAAATATAATAATACACTTATTCTCTGAGGGTAGACAAAGTGAAATATGACATGCTGGGTTTTAAATGTGCCATAATGTCTAAATAAATTGAGATTAGTAAGAAAAACTCCTTTTATTTTGATTTCTAGTGGGGTTTATTTGACACTGTATGAATGTGCCTCCCTTAGGCTAAGGTATGGCTCAGATCCACACCTTGCCATCCTCAATTAACGCCCACATTTCGCCTGAACAGTAAGCTTACTATACTCTTCCTTGATCCCCAAATACAGTTATTCCACTCGAGTTACAGCACTCCTTTAGTTCCAGTCTCTCTCCAGTCTGGCAGGTTACAGGGTGGCTCTCTCCTCTCGCCTTCAGGTGACTCCAAAGACGCACCGTAGAAACCCCGGAGGTTTCCCCTCTCTGGGATTACATTCTTGTCACGTTCAGCAAAAAAAGGGCAGGAATTAGATGACCAAACAGGTCCCTGAGAAGAGAGTCCTCTCACTTCGCCTCCACGCCTCCAACTCCGCTTCCAATATTGTCTTCTTGTCCGTTACGCCGCGCTTATCCGTTCAAACTTGATTACAGCATGACAGGAGGACTGAAGGACGGCGAGAAGGAAGAGGTACAGTATGGCTTCTCATGCGCACAGGGCACTATTTGAATGTTTCTTTTAATTTACATGGACTTTTGTTCTCCGAGGAGCTGCTTATTATTGCTTTTAAGTTGCATTCATGAAGGACATTTGGATGTTAGTCCGCTGTGTTTCAATCGTTATCTTTCTGGCGCCTAGTCATGAACGCGTCTCCCACACACTCTCTAGGGGAATGTGAAGCACCATTGAGGTGCATTAGCATGTGAGTGTGAGATTTTACCAGCTAAAACCTTTTATTAACAGAAGGACCGGTTATTGCTTTTACGCATAACGCGGAAGGTTATATGTTCGTGCGTAAAAGCGCAAAGGAGAGTATACCCAACAATTGTTATAAAAACAGAAGCATTCAGTTAAAAATCGTGAAAATGTTCAAAATTAAATTATAAATCCATATGGTTTGGAGTGAAAGGGAGAACGATCCACGAAAGAGTGATGTGCCGAACAATGGAGTCTTTACGCACTGCGTTTTTAAGGCACTGAATACGGAAATCAAACGTGTTTTTACTTTAAATATGCCCATATATTTGTGGGAGTGGTATAAAAAATCACAGTTGATTAACCTAATTGCTCAGAAAGCATCCCAAATGATTTGGAAAACGCTTAGTCAGGGGATAATCAACATTTGGAGTATGTGCTTTTACTCATTTCTTAAAACGGTTGCCATGGACACAGGTTGTAACAAACAGCGTGTCAGGTCAGGATATGGTTTCTCTCCGGGTGGTGAGGACCCCTTGCGGCGAGATTGAGGGGTGTGGTGCTTCACTTTCTACTCATTTAAACCCATCCCTGTTTGCGGGGCAGGCTGCTTCTGCTCCAGTCTCTCTGCACTCTCCCTCCTCACTCCTCCTCACACTCTTCTTCTCTTTCTGCCTCCTCCGGACCCTGACAGGAGTGTCTGCATTCGCCGTTCATCCGAAAGCAAGGGAACATATACAAACCTAACAACAAAGACATGGACAACGACAGCATGAACGAGAAGACCATGGATGATATCCACACCAAAGAGATCGACCTGGTCAACCGGGACCCGAAGCGAATAAACGACGATGTTGTCAAGGTGAGTCAAACCTGGAGGGCTGGAAGATTTATTTTTGGGGTGAAATGGTGCAGCTGTTGCGTGCTTTTGAAACTTAAACTCCAGCTAAATCCCTTTTGAAGAGATCGCACTTTACTTAAGCTAAGTGTAGCTGCTTGAAAAATGTGTTTTACTTAAATAAACTTTGGGAAACCGAAGCGAAAGCTATCAAACTGGTGTTATGCGCGCGTCAGAGGCGCACTGCAGTTCTCCTGCGCACTGTCTCGAGCGCCGTATTCCGCCCCGCTGACTTTCCCCTATTAGGAAAAGTCTTAGCAGAGTTATTGAAGCCCATTCAGTCGATACAATGAGCTTTCCCCTGCACGAGCAGCAGACTCAAACATGTGAACATCCTCGCTCCAACTGAGGAAACATTACGAGTTTCCTGTTATTGGAACGCACTTTTCCCACAGTCCCTGATGCACGCCTTGCTGTTGGGAATTATTTCCATAAGAGCGCGGCCTGGTGCGTAAATACGGAGTGTTTATTTTGTTTAAAGGAGTTAGCAGAGGACTGGTAGCGCTGGAAAACCACCTGACGCGTCCTCAGTGAGCGGGGAGCAGCAGCTGCCTGTGCCCGGCCTCCCTCTCCTCAGCTGGGGGAGTTTTTGTTCATGAGTGGGGGGTCTCGCTGCGTGAGAAGGGGGTCAGCTGTTTGAAATGCCTGAACTCTGCCTTGTTAAAACAGGGAAACACCCAAGTAGCCAAGTGGTAGTCTGAGGGGATATCCCTCACCACTCCCAATCTCTCCTCCCTCCTTTTTCCCATTCTCCTCCTCCTCCCCCCTCTCACTCCCTTCTTTCCCTACATGCCTGCAGTTGCGTCACAGGAGCAAATGTGCATGTGTTGCTTTGTATTGGCTGCTGTCAGGCTCCAAGTGAAAGGACAGTCTGACATGATTGATTAGAGAGGTGATCCTTAGCCTCTACTGTTCGGTGATAGTGATTTGACTTTAATATCATTGCTTCCATTCAGTGAAGCTAAACTGATATGGCATTTTCAAATCAAATCAAGTTTTATTTATATAGCACATTTTTAAAACGATTTTTGGTCGAGCTGAAGTGCTGTACATATAATAATTACCTTACAGTAAGGACACTTTACAGCAAATACAACAGCAGTTTGAGAAAACGACACCCTCTGTCCTTAGACATCGTACAACGAAAAACTTCCGGAGAATAAAACCCACAGTCTTCTTTCCAGCTACTTATGCCATTGCAATACTGTGAATGAGGTGGAAAGTAAATGTGAGTTTCATCACATGTGAAACGTTCAAAAACCGGCTTCATCGCATCATTCACGTGTTAAATATCTGCAGATCACATGATTTTGGGAATGTGACACTTGAAACGTGAAATGCCTGAAAGCCACATGTGTATTGTAACATTGTTATTGTGCATGTGTTATAGTACATTGTAACCATGTGACGAATAAGGGAAATGGTTTCATGATGAGTTCCCCATTGCTTTTTTTGCAAAGGAAAAACTATATATTTAGTTTATTGGAGTTAGAAAGAAAGGAGAAAAGGTGCTACAAAAAGCAAATGAACAGAATATATAAATAACCTTTTTCCAGTTGTGCCACATCTACACTTTGAGCAGCTTTCTGCCTCTGCCTCCCCTTCTTCTTCCTCCTCTCTCTCTGCTCTCTCTCCCTCCCAAAGCTCCTCCATTGTGACAGTGAGTCAGACTCTCCTTCAGGCTCAGAATAGACTTCAGCTTTACGATTGTCCCGCCCCGCTCTAATCAACTCAACAGACCCCTGCTCAAATGATCGGAAATCACATGCAAGTCCACTGTGAACAATGGAAACTCCATATGGAAGAGAACCTCAGACTTTAAGCAAGTACATTTACTAAAGCCCTGAACTTAAGAACGATCAGAAGGTACTTTTAGCTCATTCAATTAGTCTAATTTTAAGCTATTTTATACATCTTTTGCATTCAAAATGTTCAGATGCACTAGCCTCAGTACGTTAAACTACACCATAACAATAAAACCTTTGCAATGGTCCTTCTAGCCATTCAAAGATAGCTTTTGATATTCTTTGGGGCATCTTTCTGATCATAATCAACATATTATTACGAATGCAAGACTTTTACTCTTAATGGAGCATTTTTGCTTTGTACTATTGGTGATTATATCTAAGGGCTCTGAAAACGTCAAATGCCACCGTTAGTGAGGTCACATTTAGCAAAAAGGGGCATTTTCATGACCTTTTGGATTATAAAGCAGGTCTCGGTGTTAAAGTATCAAAATGCTTGGCATACTGAGAAATGCACACCGATGCCACATTGCAGGAACTTTTAACGAGACGTCAGGACTCCCATAAGGTTGTAATGTCACAATTACACTACAAAATGCTGTATGCAAATGACCAGGAAACACTGACCAATCAGAGCAGACTGGACTTTTTTTCGGAGTGGGTCTTAAAGAGACAGGCTCCAAAACGGACCGTTTCAGACAGAGGGTGATTACAGGTAGATTCAAGCAGACATTTAAGCATGTAAATGTGATCAAGAAGACACCTAGAATACAGGAATGAAACTTAAAAGGCGTGTGATATGTCTCCTTTAACAATTTGGAAATGACTATTGAACACTATCACCTCATTTAGACTTAAAAACTGTATTATAGTGCGACTTTGAAGACTTCAGAATAAAGCATGTTGTTTTTACAGTGTGTGTGCTGCTGTACACAGCTTCTCTGAGGTACTGTGAGGTCAATGAGACATTTCTGCCAAGTGGAAGCGTGTGTTTGGTGTGAGCCCCAATGAAAATCACAAGCAGGGAATCCCTCCCAGCAAACCCCCTCATTCTGCAACGCACCGTGACCACAACGCCCCACATATACAGAGTACATGTGTGGACTGTACAAGCAGTATACACACACACACACACACACACACACACACACACACACACACACACACACACACACACGCACAGACTCACACACACACACACACACACACACACACACACACACACACACACACACACACACACACACACACACACACACACACACACACACACACACACACACAGACTCACACAGTGCATTCTTAAAAGAAAAGGCACCCACGCTGTTCTCCTGCAGCTGGCCTCAATCACCTGGCCACATCAAATAAGTTCCATTACTGACATGCATGCAGAGTTTGCCATACACAGACTTTTTCCCCTCGGAGAATCTTTATATAGCAGAGGGGGGGGGGTCATGTGAGGGGAAACGTCTCCACTGGAGACCATTCTCGAGAGGAAGTAGTAAAAATGTGATCGCAGTTGTGAAGGTCGATTTGAAAGGAATGCAAAGCCTATCATTAGTTGGCTTTTGATGGTATTTTGAGTTAATCGCCTCATTGTGGGATGTTTATTTGATTATATATGTGATGTTGTTGCTTTGGAAACATCTCATACCTTCAGTTTTTGACATTTTCTGGGCTTTTATTGCAACTTAACAATGGCTCGAGGCATCTCATGCTTAAGGAACTCTTGCAAACGCAGTGCAATGGGATTTGTTTGCATTCAAATGTCATGCAAATGTAACAAAACTACGCCTACATCACAGAAACCTTTTCAAAATACATTCAACATCACACATTGAACACATAAGCATTCAAGAAGAGATTCCTCTAAATGTAAACGATATCAGTCATTATTAAAACATGTTCAACTTAGTGCACATATGGATGGTTTAATGTAAAGTTTAACTGAAGGTGTTTTGTTTAGTTCTCTGGACATAGATTGCAAAAAGCGTCTTAGATGAGATGATGTGTTGAATTAATTTGTTGTCACAGCTTTAAAGGGACCCTAATCATCTAATTTTCAGGTTCATATGTATTTAGTGTCTCTCCTGTGACATGTCTCCATGCTTTAATGTTCAAAAAGCTCTTTATTTTTCTCATACTGCCTGTGCTGCAGCACCTGCTCTGATTGGTTAGCTGGCCGGCTCTGTTGTGATTGGTCAACCGCTAAAGCCCCTGTCACACTGTCCCGAAATTGACACACGATTAAGGAAATGTTCAAATTCGGCTCTGATCGTAACAACATCGGGCCATTCGTGAGGGCATCTTAAGCCATCGTATGACCGCCGGTGGAGTTTCTCAGGCTC